TCGAGAGAGAGCTCCCTAGCCAGTGAGAAATGGCCCTTGACGTAAACTCCTAGGCCGTGCATGTGGGTTTGAGAGTTTATTCTAAGGAAAAGAAGGGAACCGAGAAGTCAGAGGAGGGGATAAATGAGTTGAGTTTGGTCTCGCAGAGAGCCAGTATATCAGGAGACTTCACAATGAGGAACGATTCCACACTGCAGAAGTTGGTTCGAATGCCACGGATGTTAGAAAAGGAAATGTTAAAGGGTTTAGGTGATTTTTTAGAGCTGGTTTAGGTTTACGTTTTTGATCGTTTGTTGTCATCTTGGGTAATGTTGGTAGTGGAAATGAGAAGGCCTGAAGTAGAAGTCGCAGACGGTCATCGTATGTGACATGGGCAGAAAGGAACTGGCGCAACCTGCAGCATAATGTGGCCTTAGGGTTGCCCACAGGAGGTGCGTGCAGGGTCACCCTTCCATGCGCGACATGGTACTACAACTACAGGCACCCCGATATTATTATACAACCGTTGATCAGAGCGGCCGCACAAGATGCTATGCAAGAGTTAGGTCTCCTAACTACCAGTCGGGAACAGCAACCAGAAACTGTTAACCCGGTACCCTCAGAATGAAGAGACGCAGCTTACAAGAAGTCCAAGAACAACGTGCACGGCACTCATTGTTGAAAATGAAATAGAAAAATTTAACTTAGTTAAAGTCCCAACATGCACTTCTTGAGTTGCAAACAGCTCTTCATCTGAGAGCTTAGGAACTCATATTGTTAACTTTTTGTATGAGTCAGCGAGAGAAAAAAAATTAAATAAAGAACTAATCCAAAATTTTCGAAACCAGTGTGGATTAAAATTCACTTCAATTAAAAATGAAAATAAAAAAAAAAGATGCAAAAAAACTTTCATAAAGAAGTGGTACGAACAAAGGCAAAAAAAAAAAAGGTAAATTAAATTAAGTTAGTACTGAAATTCGAAGACAAACATACAATGGAGACAGGCAACGATATTTATTTGTCCAGCACGGCTGCTTGGCAGAAAATAAAGCCAGAAATATTTATAGACCACTACCGTGAGCCCGGGAACTCATATCGTTTACTTTTTACGTCAACGGGAGAAAAAAAATCAAAGAACTAATCCAAAATGCATTGTAACTATTTAAATACATTACTTTAAATATTTTTAGAGATGTTTTAAAAAATCATGTCACATAAATAAATGAAGATAGTGATTTTATTTTTATCCCGAGGAAAAAATTTGCTTATGGAAAGCGGATCTACCACAATAATACTTTATTTTTAGTGGCAATAAAAAATAACTGTTTTAAAATTAACCAATAATCTCATAATCTAAATCTTGAGATATATATGTAGCAGTTTTAAAGCGAAATACTCTTAAAATTTATGGAAAAACACAACCCTTTAACGTTAACCCCTTACCACTACCCTACCTAAGAGCGAAGATAAATAAACAATTTCTTCTGCTGTTTCACATTGAATAAGTCTTTTTTTATGAACTTACTAATGTTTTTAAATTTTCTTGGATATGTCGGAGTTAATTCCTCCTTCACTCCGTTAACCCTTTCACCAGGGGTCTCTCTTCCCTGGCTATAAATAGCCGCTGACACTTTGCCTCTATCTCTTTTTTCTTCAGGCCTGTGCACCGCAACCTTGAGGTAAATTTCTCTTTTTCCTTCAGGATTTCAGCTATCAACCTCGAAATGTAGGCGCTAACAAGGGATAGCGGGAGAACACGCTAAGCACAATATTCACACACGCACGCACATACAGAATATTCACGCACGCACGCACATACAGAATATTCACACACACTTCGTACTTTGTACTATTTCCATGTATTGTAACTTGTTATTAATATATATTTGTATATACATATATTATCGGTCTTGTGTTTTGTTTGCTTTCTTTGCCTTCTTCTTTGGACTTAATCAAAGTCCAACCTTTTTATGTAGTTGGGCTCGGCGGGCAGGAGTATCTGAACCTTACATGCGTTTCTTCTACGTCTGACTTCCATCAACAACATAACAACCGCCACGGCCCCACTACAGATAGAAAGAATCTCTATAATTTAAGTCATTATAACTATTAAAGAAATAACGTTTTAATTTGTTTAAATGTTCACGTTTTACTCTCTACCATATTTATTTATCTATATAATACTAAAAGTAAAACTCTAATATTGTATTTATGTGCGTGCTCGAGATGTAGAACGATAAACACCCCAAACAATTTTGAAACATATTGTAACTTTAATCCCTGAGTATAAAATTAGACAAGTGGTTCTTGAGCTAGCACCGTTTTTCTACTTTTTACAACATTTTTAATAAGAAATTCAGTATTCGTTTTCAGTACACATTCTTATATCAATCTGCATATATAAACAACACTTGCATATTATATTCCAACTATTATGTGTGTAAAAAATAACAAACATGCATAATACATAACTAGGTACCTCCACTTTTTCGCGGGAAAAACAGCATAGCATAATGAAAAAGGCCACTAACAAAGTTTTATCAAAATGTTTCCTATTATTACGATGAAAGTAATATATGATTATTTTTTGAAATTCTTTAATCCTTTCCAACACGTTCGAAATTTTGATTCAAAATCTTGTTTTGCTTACATCATCGGACCCGGGTATTAATTACAAAAATACTTTTTGCCGCTTTTTTTCCGGTGAAAACACATTAATTTGGAAATTCTTGCAAAAATTAAATAACTGTCGGATTTTAATGAAACTTTCAGGACTTATTCACAAATAAATTAAATTATTTTTTGAAATTTTGGTAAAAAATATTTTTTACATATGTTACCCCTCGTCCAATTACTTAATTTCATGAAATACCTTTCTATTTCCTGAATATTTTTATTAGTAGGACTCCTTGGAAAATGAAATTCACCGAATTTTTTTTTTTCAAACTTTTATTTTTCTAACTGAAAATCTGCTCCGAATAGTAAACTAAAAAAATATTACAAAACTATGACATTATTTAAGAAAATTTGAATTAATTTAAGAAAATTTTCTAGTACTTTTATTTTTTTAAAATTTTTCATAAAGCTTCTTCAAACATAACTAAAAGTCAATAAAATATTAGATAATTGATGAAAATATGTTAATTTGCAAAAATTACGAGGTAGTTAAAAACGAAAAAAATGCGTTCACTTAGATTTCGTAAATTTATGTCAATTCTGGTCATTTATTCTAACCGTCATCACCTCAGAACTTATCTATACTTATCTATAAAGGACCCGTTGTTAACAAATGCTTGTAACATTTTTTTGTAAGTAAGTAATATTTGTTTCAAATCAGATTAATTTAACTTAAATTTGCTAATTTTACTCAAATAACGTGTCACAAATATATATTTTATTTTTGGAAGATTTTTAAAATCGATAAATTTGTTTTGTTTACAAATTTCTTAAAATTAAGAAAATGGACGCTTTTAAGAAAATTTTCTCAAAATTGAGATTCCGATCTATATAATTTCTATTTGAAATACCCCAGAATATTTTACTTACTGGAAATAGTAAATTTAATCATTTAAAATTTTAATTCATTTTAAATCTTAGGTATCGAAAATTTATGCCGAATTAGTGAAATAACATTATTAAATACATTTAAATATAAATAACACAACACATTTACACAATTCCCGACACTACATTAGAACGTTTTTATAAACAAATATCTCGGATGTTTGGAATAGTACGCTATGTGGGTGTGTCATTGAAAAACGTAATTTGTATGTCTGGAAAATTGTTACATGACTTGAACGCAAATAAATACATGCACGTTGGTTTTTAAATAAATTTGAGGAAGAAAGAAGTATGTATAATAAATATAATTATTTTGAAAAAATACCTAATAAATGAAACTAAGTGCACAAAAAGGAGGCATCCTTACTTTATTTCAATAAATATAAATATCTCTCAGCAGACAATTGCTGTTTGTTTTTAATGACATTTACCTTTAAAAATTATCATATTAAAATTGGTATAAATTCCCACCCAGGGATTACTATTACTTTAATGGCAAGGCCTTTAGTGTGATATCTGTTTGCAATTTAATTCTGAAAAAGTAAACTTTTTTTCCTGCAAGACAATATGTGCATAAAATGCTGTTTCAAATTAAAGCTAGGTTATTGTCCGGGAATATATTCTGGTATTGCTAATTTATGTTTTGTTCTGAACGTCTGTTGTTTGATAACATCTCTCATTGAATTTCAAGCTGAATTTCATTAAGAAAATAAAGTATAGCGGCAATTTTTCACAAATTCTGTAAACCTTCCATTTATTAATTTATTATTGCATTTGATCAAAGTAATGTTGTATAATGTGAGTAATAATGATTATTACAATAAGTTGTATTGCAAATACAAGCTATGTGTAATTAATAGTAAATTCGATAATATTGTTTACCTCATCGTTTTGTATCATAAACTGCTTTTAAAAGAAACCCAAAGGGTTCATGTGTGGTCTAGTCGTTACTATTATTTGTTACTTCTTTTTTATAACGTGCATCATCTGCAGACACATTGCCTAACTGTTCATTTTCTCCCAATAACCATTATCACGATTGTTACTAATCAAAGCAAACTACTTACCAGCTGCAAATAATTTTCAGATTTTGATACATCGATTAGTTTGCCTTTCTTTTTGAAAAGTGAAGGTTGCGGATGAGAAAAAGGAATATACCATCTTTCTGAAATTACACCAAAAGTCAATAAAATATGAGATTCTTTAACTTGGATTCTTTTCTTTCTTTTTTTTCTCTCTTTCTTTCTTTCTTTCTTTTTTTCTTTCTTTCTTTCTTTCTCTCTCTCTCCCTCTTTCAGTGGTTATGTGTGAACGTGCATATAATTTGGATCATAGCAACATAAAGAGTAATCTCTGATCATTTTGTGCATCGTATAAATAAAAATTAAATAAAAATTGATATAGTTTAAAACTGTCATCTTAAATGTTTTACTCTATATGCTCATTGTAGTTCATTTTTAGGAAAAGAATAATGATATCTTACCTGTTGCTCTTTGCAAAATTTTTTTAAAACTTTGTTGCTTTTCAATAAATTTCATCTGAAGAAAAATGGAAACGGCCATTAAAGGGATGCATCTGAAAATGTGCTGACTTGATTGCGAATAACAATCCTCACTGTTGATTAAATTTGTGATAGTTTATGCATCATAGTAATATCAGCAGAAAATCATGTAGTGAGTTCGATTACGTTGTTGTTGGATGTAAAGCATCTTCGCTCACCAGTTTTAAAACACGAAACAATCCCCGTGCTGGATTTCTATTTGCTTGGTGAGCCTAACGTAGTCCAGTATGACTAGCTTCGTTGCCACATGGTTTCTTTTTAATCCCCTGAAGAGAGTCGTAGGGTTCCATATTAAACGTTTGTTTTTTTTGTTTGTTTTTTCTTTTCTTTTCTTTTTTTTTAAATTTTTCTAGGATCATGAGAATAATTATTTGGTTACCTGATTACTCTTTAACACAACTTTTTCTATTATATAATATAGATGATATATCACTTTGTTTCTACAACTACTACATTAAAGTCTGCAGTGGTTGTGGATAACGCTCTGTATTTTGAAGCTGAGTATCAGTTTTGAAGAGTACTTTTAGAACGTTGAATTTTCTTTCTTTTGTCAATATCGAAAGCTGACTGATACATGGCTCAACTAATTTCTGTAAGGGTACAAATAGCATTGTTTCTTACAATCTCCCAATATGCATAGAAACATCAGTCTAATAAGAAAAAGAAACTTACCGTAGGTAAATAAGGCCATTCATCCACAAACCATGGCATATCTTTATGTGCATTCTTGGTATGTAAATAATCATATTTGACGGCTTTTTTCTTACAGTCACACCAATCAAACTGCCTGGTCGCCTGATCAAGTTTTATAAAAGATATCAAGGAATTGGGTAATGAGCGCATATACGGAGATTTGGCCGCCAGCAATAAGCGTGTGAAGGCCTTTACAATGTGTGTTGAATTTTTCACGGATTGGTTGAGTACCCAATAAAGTGCCGGAGGTATTTGCTTTACAGTCAATGGTGGGATGGGTGTAGTCAAAACGTTTTCAAAGTTTTCAATACTGAAGTAGGTGATGGCCGAATAAAAGATGCATTCGCGAATGCTAAATCTCTCCTCTACAATTACAAAATAGCAAAAAGTTATCTTATAGTAGAATGCAGCCCAGGCAACACCTGTAATAATCACTTCGTTCATTAGTTTATTCATAGCTCATTTCTTGTCGCTACCTGTATCTGAAGTTTCTTGGTTAAAGTTATTCATAAATCCATCGGTGTTTAATTTTTATATTAGTATTTTCAATGGTAAACATTTAACATTCAAAATGTATTAAAAAGAAGAAAACACCTATCATACAGACATACACAGACACACACAGTTTTGGAAAATAAAATTTCAGCATCTTGATAGTGGTGCCGATTTTAACTTGAGTACTGTCTATACATGTTTGGAGGTAGTAAATAGTCTAAAAAAATGTTTAAAGTTTTCGGACATTTTGTGATATAGTAACACTCATCACAGTACACCATCTATATCTAAGTATAGATGGTGATGCATGCTGCGATAAGATGTAATGTGATGAAAGCGTCCGGTGCAAGTAGATATCATTTGCTTCTTTTGTTCAATTAGAGCTGTTTAAAGGTGATTGAAATTGGGGCATTCGAGAGTTTGGATGGTCATTTCGAAGAATAGTTGTGCATGTTAGACTTGATCCATCTATGCTAAATCGTTTTAATAACGATGATCAAATGAATATTCCTATATCCGTAAAGCAGATTTTAGACATTTACGTAGTACAGACGCTCGTCAAGAGCAGTTTATTACAAGAGCAGCAGCGTAAAACCGCACGGCGACAACAGTACAGAAAAGTGCAAATATAATTCCAAGTGTATCATTGTGGATCATTGGGAATAGTTTACTTGCAGCAGGTCTATGGGCTCAAGTGCCTCTGATCAAACGCCGTTGTGCACGTCAGCAGTGGTGTTGCAAAAAGTCATCTAGAGGATGTTCAGTGATGAGAACAAGTTCTGCTTTCATGCAAATAATGATCGTTCCACAGTCTATTCACCCACCACACACAGGCACCATTGTGTGATGTGTCATATGTCACAGCTCTTGTTCACCTTTTGTGTTTGTGAAAAGAACATTGAACAGCGCCATATACATCAATAATATTGTTCAACCCGTTCTCCCGCCATTCCTGTAAAAGAAAGGCGATGTTCTCTACAGTAGGATAGTGTCCGCCCATGTAATAACTGTGCTACTCAAGATGTTCGACAACTTTCCTGGATGACATGATCACTATACATATCCTTCATTGAACATTTATTGAAAGTGATAGGATGTCACCTGGTTCGTTCAATTAGCCTACTTATGTCAACTGGTGAAAAAGATACGAAATAACGTATCAAAGGACAGCATTCACTATTTGTACAATCATATGCTTGAGACAATATATTAATGAGATTTGAGTACTGATCACACGATCTTTATTTTGGAACCTGTGCACGTAATGATTTGTATATGTGGTCATTTACTGTAATCCAACTATATTACCTGCTCATTTAATCTTGAGTAAATTCAAATATATCCGGATTGCTGCCATTCTATTTTCCGTCAGTGTATATACACTGATTACCAAAATCCATGAGATAGCAGTGTATAAAGGTAATGGTAAATGGCGCCACCTACCTTGACGTCACGAAAATGTCCCGACCTGTATCAGTTGTGGCCTGGTATTTAATGAATCTGTGTGAATACCGGTTAGCCTGTTTATATTCCGTGAATTATCTCTGTTCGGACAAGGCATAACAGTGGATACCAGATGGATTGGGACATTTTGTTTCTGAAATTTTTGGAATATTTGATATCCCTTGATATACAGTGTCACGCGTAAACCGAGAATATCTGATGGAAAGCCTTATCAACCACTATAGATAGCGTAGTGGCCGATCACGGCTCCTTAATGATCGTAACCAGAGGCAAGAAATGTCCGCAGTAACAGACAAGCGACATTGGCTCATTTAGAAGGCACCAGACCCATACCCATCAGGTCAGTTAAGTGCTCTTTAGTTTTCATGGGATACGGAAGACCCACTAGTGTGTGTGATTCAAGATACATCATCGCAAATTAGACCGTAGAGCATTTGGACATCTGGAGTAGCTGCAGTTGTGTTCAACTGATGACACAGGCCCCATGAGAGCACGGAACCCATTTCTCAACAGGGCATTGTGCTAGCTGATGTTAGTCCCATAAAGGTGTGGGGTGTGTTCACGTGACATATGTTGGATCGGTGATCTCTCTCATCACGTTATTGACGGATTTGTGACCATTTACACAATTTTAGTTAAATGTATGTGTTATTGTATGCAAGGGACGTCATGTATAATACGTTAGGTTACTCTTAACGGATTACTTTTTCATAAAATTTAGTCTAAAAGTATATCCCTTACAAATAGTTCCAAATCGTTTGACATAACAGACAAAAAAAAAAACAAGGATCCTATCCTCCCATATATGTGCTTCCGAGTGACACCTAACCACAGTACCACATTCATTTTCGCTCTCGGGCGATGGAACGCTAATTTCCGACAGAATATCTAAGAGGATTGATAATCTCCTCGCTGAATTTCTCTTAGATAGCTTTCATATTTGTAGTGACTTCAATATTCATCACAAAGAGTGGTTTGTCCACTGGAACAAAGCCGATGAAAAAGGCAAATATTGTAGAAACTTCTCTATCGCCTATGAACTTGTGCAGACCATTAAAGAATCTACCTGCGTTCCTGACGCGACAGGACGTCAGACAAATCTCCTTGAACTCTTCCTCGCATCTTGCTCTGAAAAATGCTTCGCATGTCAGACGATTCCCTAGTCAGTGTTTAAATTGATGCCAAAGCAAAGTCATCACCTGATTTGCTGTTCCATAGAACGATTTTTCGATACACGAAGGCAGACTGGGACAGCTTTAGATTTTACATGGTGAAAGCTCCTCTCTCAACCATCTTCAAACATTCTGCCTCCAAAACTTCTGTCCTCGTCTCAAAATAGATTCTTTCTGGAATGTAGAGTTTTATACCGCGCAAAAAATTGTCTACCTATGCACAAGCAGTCCAGGCCAAGGTTGAAAACAAACAAATTGAATCCCAAGAGTTCTGGAAAATCACCAACCATATTATGAATAGAGGCAAAGCTTCTGTGCCCCCTATTATAAATGGTCCCTAAGTCATATCTTACCATCAGATAAGGCGAAACTCTTCATTCCAATCTTTCCCTCTAACTCAGGAATAGAAGACAATGAACATCCCCTTCCCGACTTCCACGTCTCACTGAGCGCAATCTCAGTAGTATTTGTATTACAGTCTGGGAAGTCTCAAGACTTATCAAAAGTATTGATCCTAAGAAAGCTACTAGTTCAGACAACGTCTCGGTGTTTAAGGATATCAACCCGGAACTATCCTATATTAGTTAAAGTATTTAACTTCTGCTTGAAGGCGAAATCCTTCCAAAGTCTGCGGAAAGTGTCAAGCGTATGACCTGTTTTCAAGAACGCCGACGAGCGCTCAATTCTCACCACCCAGTAGTGACCTATTAGCGTCATTAGCAAGCTTTGTTTTGGTGGTGGTGTGGGGGGGGGGTAAATCAACAAGAAGGTTGTTGATCACCTAAATAATAGGAATAACCTCTTGAGCAACAAGTAGTACGGGTTTCGATCGGCCCGATCCACTGCTGGTGTCCTAACTACCATTTCTCAGAGAATTAGTGAAGCTCTAGACAACAAATTCATATTAAGAATAGCTTTAGATATTTCAAATGACTTTGACAAGGTGTTGCACAGAGTATTGCTGCTTAAGCTCTCTATCTATGGAGTCACTGTTGTTATTGAAAGTCCTCATCTGGCTGTCCTAACGGACAGCCAGATGAGGACTTTCAATAACAACAACAATGACAGCTAAAGTAACTTGAAGAGAAATAACTTCATGTAACTTGAAGAAATAAGAAATAACTTCATGTAACTTGAAGAGAAATAATGACACAAGATATTAATTCTACAATCTACTTTAAGCAAAAGGTGAGTTAAGAAGTCACCATCAATATTGGAAAGGCATATAACAGTGAACGTGAGAAATCTATTTTCCTGAAAAACTCTTTTAATTGAAAAAATGTTTAAATAGAAAGATTTTATAAATTTCAACTGACTGTAAAGATGGTTGCTTAGTCAATGAATACCAAATGTATCCTTATGAGGAAACAGGTGATCTTCTATGACACCATGACTTGTGTCAAAGGTTGACTGGCAATCTACTTTTTTATTTCTAAAGAAAGAAAAATATTTTCTTGTTAAAACAATGCGATACTATGAATTATCTGCTTTGTGTCATGGAGTACAGGTGAAATTGTAAACTTGGGTGGAATTGGTCGTTAGTCATAGTTCTGTTTAACTTGAGTGTTTTTATTTTTCATTTGATAAAGGGATTGTTCATTGAAATGAGGGACACAAAACATATCTTTACAGATCAGGTTTGTTTTGATCAGGTGTATAACACACTTACAGATAGAATTGACGATGACACCTTTGATATTCAGGTTAAATGAGGGTGAGATTCCGGAACATGGAAAATGTTCCACGGATATGAGCGATGCAAGGCCACAATTTTGATTGGCCCGCCAGTGAGAGAAGGGCTGGGATGGAGCTTCTCTTCCCCTCTGATACTTACGACACATGGCCATTAGCTTGATTTAAACAAAAAATTTCTTGCGGGCTTTCCTTTCTCACCTTCAAGGCGTATGACACAAGACCATTGGTCAAACATTATTATTGGCTAGACAGTACCAATGCAAGTGGGGTTTTCACCCCCATAAAAGCAGTTGTCGAAAGAGCAGAAGAAAGAACGAACTGGTCTCGCCGCTTGTAGACTAACACTCTCCCTGCTGGATGAACGTGGTGTTGAAGACCTATTCTCTGCGCCGCTTTTTGAATTCCCTCAATCAGCTTCCTTCATTTAAATAGTTGAACGACTCTGGTTTGTTTAGCAATCACCAGTTAACCTCTTCCACCCAGCTTAAGAATTCCTTATACCGGGAAACTTCTTCAAATCCCTTTTGTTATGTATTCATGATCTGAATCAATCACAGCACCATAAAATAAAAGTTGTTATTTTTACACTTATTAATAAGTTAATTAAGTTTCAAGCATAGCCATGACAGAGATCTTCGACAGTTCTACACAGATATTCCTGCGTATGCTGAAACACAACGTGGGGGCACAAGATTGGCGCAAAGCGAACTCGCCAGAGATAGACCAGCGGACACGGACCAAACTAAGAGTGGCAATCAGCGAAGCACGCAGCAACAGGACCACACTTTTCCTGAGATAAAAAGGTTCGATCTGCAACTTTCGTTTTTTTTTTTGTTTTAATGAATTTTTAAGTTATATCTTGTGGCATATTCTCTCTGCACTATATGACCACTTAAGTTTTATACAAACATTTTCATTTAATCCCGAGAAAATTATAAGATATGTTTGTCAATTTATGAAAAAAGTTATGATTAACCAAACTTTGAAGTTAAATATCTGAAAACTACAAAAAGTGCAGATAGAATCTTTTTAATTTCGTGTGACGTAATTTTACCATTACTATGACGAACTTTTCAGTTTCTTCATGACTTTCATTCAGCTTTACTAAACTCATATACTGACTAGAAAACTCATTGAAAAATTTAAGGCAAATCCTGTCAATCAAAAAAAACATATTTTATATATATATATATATATATATATATATATATATATATATATACGCACAACACACATACACACACATACACATACACACACATACACATATATATATTTATATATATATTATTCAGCCATAAAAATATGCTGTTGCCGTCGAATAAACGATCACTGACGCTGGAGTAGATTCTAATTTTAATCCTACTTTTAATTATAACTAAAATAAAACAATTATGTTTATCCCATGAGTCCCGTTTCAGTGTATATCTGTTCATTCTGAATAAAAAGATTCGATCCAGTTCACTATGGAAGAAGAAAATAAGAAATCATTCAGCTTTCCTGGATGTACTAATTCCTACAGATGAGTATATCTATACGGATATTAGAAGACAACCTTTTGCGGACAATACCTCAACTTCAATTCCCACCATTCATACAGTTTAAAGAAATGCTTCGTCCGTTGCTTACAACACCAAACAAAAATCATATATAGCAAACCCAAACACTTACCAACAGAATAATAACTAAATGGTAAACATATCAGCTTCTGCAGACAGAAACAGAAAAGTCAAGTACGAAAACCAGAAAACTGTCACGGTCTGTCCTCCTTACGTCAAGAGTTTATCTGAAAATTTTCAGATCTGCAATCCATACATCAGGACAATATCCAGAAGTAGATCCACCTTAAGGAGAATTGTCTGTCGAGTCTAGCCTAAGACAGAGGAGAACATGACAAAGAATTGTGTGTACTCCATTCCTTGCAATTGTGACGAAGAATATAAAGGTAAAACTAGCCACTAGTAAGACTGGAGGAACATCGGAGCCGTAATTAGGGATGAGATAAATCAGCAACGGCTGATTATGTACGGGGAGTTAACCCCTGTGAAATAAATTAAAAATACTGGGCAAAGGAACACTGGAAAATCAGATATCTTAAAGAATCAGCGCAAATTCTAGGCTATTAGGACCTCCACAGTAAGGCCTAGTATAGAAATAAATACGACATAGAGACCATTAATAAAGAAATGAAGGCAATGCTCCAAAAGCGACAGCAGCTACAGTAAAAAGTGGAAACCAATCGGACAATAGCCTAAAGCGTTGGTTCGTGAATTTGATAACAAAGTAATTGTGAGGTTCAATCCCTGGACCAGGTAGTGTGCACTTAAATTTAGCAGCAATAACTGAACAGTACTAAACAAAAACTAAACAAGATTACCCTGGGTATGGGCCGCATAACGTGAACAATCTACCTCCGTAGATTAAAGGGTTTGAAATAGTTCGGATCGTCAATTACCTGATGAAGGTGAGCATAACGGCCGAAACGTTGTGTTATCAACATATATATATATATATATATATATATATATATATATATATATATATATATAGGGATAATTAATATAAATAATAACTCCACATCCCAAAAAATTCAGAAAGAAAAAGCTACAACTCATAAGGACTCCTGAGTAAATGAGACAAAAGAAAAATGATTGTCTTTTAAATACCGAAAGTCTAAACGGATGATTTTACGCGGAATTCAATTTATTGATTATCTCTACAGCAAATTTTAAACGTTTTTCAGAACACTAGGACATTTTGTCATTGGTAACTTTAAAACTGGAAAGGTATGACATTTCATAAAATGTTTTTGTTCATCTAATATCTAATAGGAAACTATCGAAGAAATTTTTAAATGATTGAAATAATATTTAGAAATATTTAAAAAAAAAACTTAGATCATAAACATTAATACAGTTTTACTAAATGAAAATAAACACCATTAAAACTTCAGTTACATAAATTTGAAGAAAATATAGCATTGTTATAGAAATGAATTTGCTTGATAATTTACCTGAAATGTTCTTCTTTTTTCTTATAGCAAATCCAAGTAAGAATTCTTCGAAAGTTTGTTTTGGAGGACCAAAGAATATCATCATGGCATCGATGACTTCATCAAAAGTGATACTTAAACAAACAGTTCGCATGAGTCTATAAATGGTAGAAAAATCCGTCTCCATCGGAATTTTGATCCTCAGTAAAGCACGGATCTGTAAATAATAAACCAAACGCTGACAACTTCGATAAGGAAAGAACCAGGTGTAATTTCTACACCATTTCATAAAAAACAGAAACTTAAAATTGACGTCGATATTTTTTGCTTTTTAAGCTTTCAAATGATTTTGTTTCATACACGTGTGTTGCAATTAATTTAGTAATGACAGAAAGAGCAACACGAAAACCATAGTAGTCATTTCACTCATTTTATTTCAAAACTGACCCCCGAGCGATACACCCTCTCTCGGGGACTCAAAACAGTAAGAACAAAAACAAGGGGTGTAACTCATCAGTGATTTCTGATGATACACCTCCCTCCGTCCAGATTCTATGATTATTTTTTTTCACACATAGTCCTTAAAGTATTTTGGTTTTAATGTTAACCGTCCTTTACTAGATATTGCTTCCTTGTGACACCCACTGGTGGTCGGAGCGCCAATATGTGACGTCCTCTGGTCGCGACGCCAATATGTGACACTGCGCTGTCGGCCCGTGGTCAAGTCCCAGTTGTGGTGCGAAGCTGTAAGGTTTCTTCCACCAGCGTTTTTTGTCGCTGCCACCAGCCTGTGTTCTGGTCGATCTGGTCGTTCCCGGTTCGATACCAGCTTTGTCGTTCCCAGCTCACTTCCAACGTCAGGTTACCGAAGTAACTACTTTGATCTCAGTCTAACCTACCCACGTTGTGACTTTGATCTTAGGCAGACGAAATCAATCAGGCGTCGGGCCGTAGTGCAAGCTGAATCCAGGGTAAAGGTGATATCGCACAAGCGTAAGTAAAAGAAGCAATAAAACAAACTCGAGAGGTTCAAATATGTTGAGAAATAACAAATTATCTTTATCCGTCTGTGTGGGTTTCAGGAGTGGGTTTCTCTTCCAGTCCGTTTCTATGGATTTGTGACACTTTTGCGTTTCTCAAGCGAGTTTTGGTATCTTAAGTCGTTCGTCAATATAACTTGCTTTTGGTAGGAAATCGAAAAGGACGTGGAAAGCTCTCGGTCAGCTTCTGCGAGGCAATGGTCTGACTGCTGGAACTCTACTGGAAATACCCGGGGACGTTCGTTTATATGGGCACCGACCAAAACCCGGTGTGGGGTCTGACGTGGCTTGGGTTTCCGATAATTCTCGATTCCCAGCAAGAATTCTTTTTGTTCTTAGGCAAGGAAAATTAATTACTTCCCATTTTTGGAAGATTAAGCACTTTCCATTTCGGGAGTTTCTCACTCGTCCGTGAGGGAAGGTCGGAGGAGAGTTATCCTCGTAGAAGAGTTCCTCTCTCTCATATTGGTATCTCATACCAATCCCCACAGTGGGTGTTAACAACTTCGTCTTTCTCATACATTCACCTCCGCCTATCACCCATGCTACTACTTGACCAATGATCTCTCGGCAGTGTGGGTGTAGCTAGACTGGCCCTCTTAAAATTATTATCCAGAATTTTGTTTTTTTTACAAACCCCAGATTGCCAAATAATTCTTATCACATCTTTCTTTTGACACCCAAAATTCACTTAGTCGAGTCTCTCTACCGACTCATCAATCACTGTCAAAACCCGACACCTGGTTTTTGTTCTGCTAAGTCAACTTTTAACTGTGAGGTCCGTATTTTACCTGAGAATAAATTCTTTATTTTTCTCATGCCTTAAAATCCTCTTATCACCAAATGCCCATTTTCGACGACGCTGTGTATGACGTCAACAGTTTGAATAAGCAATAATAATACGATTTTCTCCCTCATGCCAGAATTCTAACACACACCAGATGGTTCCCTTCGTTGGACCCAGGAATTAAGATTAAATGATATCGCTGAAAGATAACTAATATCGATTCTCTCGGCCTGTACCGCGGTGGTCTCAAGCCGAAATTTTTTTATGGCCGCCATGTGTCGGTTGGCTTTGTTTTTCTTTTTCTTTCTGAATTCTGTTTCTCTTGGCGCATCACTACCTTATCATGACATTAATCAGTTTTGACAGAATCTCATATCTCGCTTTTTCTTACGGATTTTCTCTCTCGTGCGAAAAGTATCTGTCTTCGTAAATAAAATAAAATCTTTTTAATGTCGCTCAGTCTATCTTTCGATATAGCTTTTTCTCGACTTAAGTCTTTTCTGTTATTAATTTCTATGGTGAATTAGTCAGCCAATTACCATAGCTAAATAGTGTCACATCTTTATCCACATTTTTAAATGGATCCTGCTTTCCTCTTTCTTGAACAATATTGTATTGTTTTTCCACAATAGGCAGTAAATGTTTTCTATTCCTTTTTCGGAATTCACCTGAGTCTAACTTTACTGTGTATGTCTTATTGTGCTTATTTGCTGCTATGACTGTAACCATTTTTTCCCAAGTTTTCTCTTCATCCATTTTCTCTCGGATTCTATCTCCCACTTTTTGTGGTTTTAGATCTTTACCCCCATGTCTTTTATCATAATTTATTTTACTTCTTGTTTTATTAGATCCATCTTTTTGTTTTACTTTCCTAAAATTTGACCATTTAGGTTTTAATTTATTTGGGTGACTGGGTAAAGTTATTTTAATTTTCCTGCCCATCAAAAGTTCTGTTGGGTTAACTCCAGTAGCAGTTATTGGTCTACTACGATATGCCATTAATGCGAGAAATATGTCCGGTTGTCGTAATATCTTTTCCGCAATTTTCATTGCACTTTCAGCGACTCTATTTGATTGTGGAAAATGAGGACTCACTGTTGTACATGTGAACCCATATTTTTTTAGCAAATTCTCTGAAATGTGTGCTTGTGAATTGTCTTCCGTTATCACTTACGACTTCATCTGGTATTCCCCATCTTGCAAATATATTTTGTAATTTTCCAATTACTGTTTTACTTGTTACTGAACTTAATTTCACTATTTCAAAGTTATAGGAGAAATAGTCTGTTACGACTAAGTAATATTCTCCATCCAATTTTAGAATGTCTGTTCCCATCTTCTGCAAAAGCCTATCTGGCAAAGTGGTTGATTTCAAGGTTTCGTGGGGATTTGTAGCGCGATGACAATTACAAAATTCACATCCCTTGATGAAGTCTTCTATTTCCCGTGATATTTTCGGCCACAATACAGACTTTTTTTGCTCGTTCTTTGCATTTATTTAATCCAAGATCTCCTGTGTGTATTGCTCGTAGTATTTCTGCTCTGAGATTTTGTGGAGTCACTATGTAATCTTGATAAAACAGAATGTTTTGATGTATCGATAGATCATTCTTAAAGTTAAAATAAGGTTTAACTCCTTCCTTTAATCTATCTTCCTTCTTAGGACAACCATTTAATGTAGAATGGAGTCCTTAGATGTAGAACTGATAATTTCTTTGATTTTTCTTCGAGAAGCTGATCTAGTCTTTACTATGCTGTTTATGTATGTTTCAACATCTTCCTCAGTAGTGCTATTGGTTTGCTGCATTGGATTTCTGGACAGTGCATCTGATATTAGTAAGAGTTTCCCAGGAATATATTCAGGTACAGGATTATATCTCCTAAGTCTCTTTGGCATCTCAAAGAAGTGTTGTTTAAATCCTGAGTATTGATTAACGGTACCAAAGGTTTATGATCCGGGAATAGGCGAAACTGATCTAGTCCAGTGATATATCGGTCAAACTTCACACAGGCCCATACGCTTGCTAAACATTCTTTCTTTATTTGAGCATAATTTTTCTCTATTTGTGTTAGTGTACGAGAAGCATAAGCTATTGTTGCGGCGCTAAGCAGGTTGCCTGTTAACCCCACAAGCAGAAAAATAATATAGGGTAATACGATCGAAGCAAGGACAACAAAGACGAGGATGTAAAAGTTTAAGCCAAATTTTATTAAATAATCTGGCACAAGTATATACAGATAATCGTTTGTGGTAGTTCGGTCGTGTAGTTTTGAAGGAGCGTCGTCGGGTTTCAAGGTGACAGCTTGAAGGTAGGGCGATGGAACAGCGGTGTTCGAGGTCCAGTTGATCCCTGGATGTCTGTACTTGTGTAAAGAGCGCGTAGGTGCTTGAGGAGAGAGAGGATCGACGCGGACGGCGCTGGTGTAGTCAGTTCGTCCTTGGTATGACTGTCGTGCAGAATCGCAGCTTGGTAGTTCTAATAAAAGGACATTCGTAATAACGCGGCTAGGTTAGTCCTGAAAAGGACTATTGCATATTATGTAACCAGGCGTAGTCCGGAAAAACGACTAGTGCATATCATGTAACCGAGGGTAGACTAGTGCATATAATGTAGCCGAGTGTAGGCTAGTGCATATCATGTAGCCGAGGGTAGACTAGTTCATATCATGTAACCGAGTGTAGGCTAGTGCATATCATGTAGCCGGCTGCTGCTGATTGAAGCTGGGTCGGCCGGCTGCTGCTGGTTGAAGCTGGTCGGCCTACTGCTGCTGGTTGAAGTTGGTCGGCCTGCTGCTGCTGCTGATTGAAGCTGGGCTGCTGCTGCTAATTGAAGCTGGGCTGCTGCTGCTAATTGAAGCTGGGCTGCTGCTGCTGGCTCTGGCTCTAGCTCTGGCTCTGGCTGCTTCGTGTGGTCAGCGAAGGTGAGAGGGGGAGCTCGTCGCTCAACCCCGAGGCCAAAATCCGCAGGGAGAGAATGGTATTTACTTAACTCCCACGGGGTCAAGATGTGACGAAAGGTCGTTTAACGTGTGAGACCCGAGTGTTTCCACTCAAGGGCCACTGGTCCAAAACTGGTCAGAGCCTAGTCAAAGCTGGTCATGACTTGTCCTAGCAGGTCCAGGCCGAAGCTAGTCGAAGCCTTGATCGAATCTCAGCCATAGGCCAAGAAACGATCCAATATTTGTCAAAACCCCCAGCATAACGCCGGGTGAAAATGGTATTTACTTAACTCCCACGGGGTCAAGATGTGACACAAGGTCATTTTACGTGGGAGACCCGAGTGTTTCCACTCAAGGGCCACTGGTCCAAAACTGGTCATAGCTTGTCCACGCTGGTCCAGGCCGGAGCCAGTTGTTATATTCCGTATTTAGTTACGTGGGCGATGTGAAAACAATGTGGGCGAAATACTGCGTTTGGTTGCAAACAATGAAATTCAGAATCGAAAGAACAAGAAAGACTGTAGATATATTTTATAGTCTTTTTAGTGAAGAAAATAAGAACAAGTAAAAGGTTCGTATTTAAGAAGTTGAGTATCTATGGTAGTGGCAAGTAAACTTCGTGGAGTTAACTTGACTTATGGAAGGGGAAAGGTACCCTTTGACAAGGCGTCGGGCGAGAGTTCATTAGCAGCAGCGGTCACATGCTTCGTTCGTCGCCGGGCCAGTGTGTCAGGAGCGAGCGACGTGACCCTTTTGCCTCCGCCGTTGAATGGGACTCCCTTTTGACTTTCCCGTGTTGAACTTATACACGCCTATCGGCTCCAAATGGCAATTTTTTGACTACGCGGGAGACGGTACGATTGGTTGATTTAATTCTCTCATTTTTTTTTTAGTTTATCCCAAACGGAAGTATCTGCGTCGAGCCTATGCGTAGACGTGCAGTTTTCATTTCGAGTCGGGGACTCGTGATGGTAACTTCCGTTTATCGAAGCAGGGCAAGATCTCATCTTGTAACACAGTCCAAGCTAGTCGAAGCCTTGATCGAATCTCAGCCAAAAGCCAAGAAACGTTCCAATATTTGTCAAAACCCCCAGCGAAAAACGCCGGGTGAGAATGGTATTTACTTGACTCCCACGGGGTCAAGATGTGACAAAAGGTCGTTTAACGTGGGAGACCCGAGTGTTTCCAATCAAAGGCCACTGGTCCAAAACTGGTCATAGCTTGTCCAAACTGGTCAGAGCTTAGTCAAAGCTGGTCATGACTTGTCCTAGCAAGTCCAGGCCGGAGACAGTCCAAGCTAGTCGAAGCCTTCATAGTATCTCAGCCATAGGCCAAGAAACGATCCAATATTTGTCAAAACCCCCAGCATAACGCCGACGATTTATTTTGTAAAATTACAAAATTATGGCACAAGGCCGAAAAGGGGGAGGGGGTAAAAGGCTGGTCTTCACTAACTATCTTATACCTAGCTAATCTGATTCACGACCCATTCAGACATTACAATTTACTCATTCACCATAAGAACTCGTCCGTCACCAATCAATCCTCCATGCACCATAATACCACATCCACTCTAGGGAGATCTACAAAAATAATAATTTGTTGATCCTAACACATACGTACAAATATTCTAAGATGAAAACATGAGATGGGGGGAGATGAACCCAATAACAAACTAAAATATTAACATAAATGAAATTAAACGTTAACTGATGTTAGCAGGACCCGTCCAACCCTCAAAAGGCAGGGAGACCACTGTATTCTGCCCATTGGAACAAAATCAAGCAGTTCTCTCGCTAAGGGAGTTGGAAAGGTGATAAAAAATCATACGGGCGTGGGGAAGTATAAAGCTGACCTAGTCGAGATAGAAAGTGGGGGGCCAAAAAACAAACTGGGGAGGTTGGGAATCTCAGGCTGGATCATAACTAAAGATGTAGCCGGGGGGCAGGTCGGGAACAACACTTACTCGCATTAACTAGGTACACCAAAGCTTGTCTAACCTAACCAAGGGGAGGGCACCACAGGAAGCCACCCCGATGACCTAAAAGAGAAAATCAAGGCTATCCCCGTTCACACGAACCAAGCTCGCCTCAGTCACCCACCTTTCGCTGAAGACTGTCGAATGCAAGCGTTTTCTATCAGTTCTGATCTTCATCTTGAGTTGCGAATTAACTTGGTGGAAAATCGGCTGTGTTTATATATAGGCTGAGGTCGGCAACGTAGCCTGTTAGCGAGATCTTTGGGGTGATGACTGAAAATTACCTTCTACTTTTTGGCTGTAGACATGGATTCCATTCGGACACCATGAAGTAGTTTCTGGTAATTGTTTTTGTTTAGGAAAGTTCGTATATGTAAATGTTTCGTTTGTTTTTAGTTTGTGTGAGTCGTTGACTGAAAAACGCTGAGTCACCGGAAGTTAACGGCATTCGTTATGTTTTCCGCGGTGACGCTTTTAGATGTTTGAGTAGCCGGCAGTAACTTCCGGGCGGGTGAGATACTATGACTCTCAAATTTTTATCTTCCTCTTGAAAAATAGCTACACCAATTCCAAGTGCATCTGCACTAATTATTATAGACTTTTCAGGATCATAGTAGGTTAATATTAGTGCCTGTGTCAACAGTTCTTTGACTCTCTGAAATGCCTTTTCTTGTGGTTCATTCCAGGCCCAAACCGTATCTTTGTTTAATAATTCCAGCACTATGTTTTTGCTAGATTAGGCACATATTTGCCTAAATATTGTGTCATTCAAAGAATCCTCCTTAAATCATCTACTGAGGAAGGTGCTGATAACTTTAATATAGCCTCGATCTTTTCCTTATTGGGTTGTATCCCTTTATCTGATATTAAGTGTCCAAAATATCGAATAATCTTTTTCCTAAATTCACATTCATCTGAATTCAATGTGATTCCTGATTTTTATATAATGATATGTACACGACTTCATTCTGAAGAATGACCTTTGAGTCATGGATTCCATTACAATGAATTCATAAAGTTATTTTGGTTTTCTTGTTTGCATTTGTTTTGTAGTTTGTAAGAAATGCAAAATTCCTATATTTCTTCAAGTATTGTGAAATGCAGCTTCAGGAAGATATGTTGCAACATCAATATAAACCAAATTAAGTATATGTTCATAATTAAGCCTATGAACATAACAATAAAAAGAATCTTTGTCATACGTGTGTTTTTGAACACTACTCAATCTTCCTCTCGTGGCTGATAGACTATCAAATACCAAGCGCACAAGTGAGGACTTATAATCTCAACCAAATTTCTCTAGAATTTTAAAAATTGTATCAGTAAACAGTGCAACACCCAACATAATTACAGGTGTACAAGAAATAAAGCACTCTTGAATACTTACTTAGTTGTATTATGAAGTATTTTCTTTCTAATAACTAATGCTAACTGCTCTGTTTTACTAATACCTCGTCAGCTTAAACAGGAAATAATGACATAATTTTACATTTTCTGCGATTTCTTTTCTTACCATAGATATGTATGTTTAAAATATTTCGTTCTGTATCACAAAACTAGTGTACTTCTCTTTCTTTCGACCTTCTATGACACGATATGTTATAACGGAATAATTTCATCGTCTCCTTGCCTGTGTCCTTTCTGAGCAATATCCTCACTGTCATTAGGGCTATTTCTCGGACAGTCAGTTAGTATGGGCGATTCTCACGAACTTTCTTCTGCTAAGTCTCCGTAATTGTCTCAACGACGGAGGTCATTTTGTTTACTATTTTTATGAACTTCCTCGCATACTCACTTACTCTAGTTTATTCAAGAATCCAATGTAATGTTTGTGTTTTAAACAAAGCTGTATTTTTATTTTTATGGGTGAAGCGGGGGGGGTAAGATCTTAGGACGATTTTTATGTCTATATCAACTTCCCATGGCATAAGGGTACAGCAACATATTGCTTTTATCATCAGCTCTGTAATAACTTTAAAATGCTATCATTAAATTCATTATGACTCGTTTTCCTTGAAGGGAATTTATGTTTAGCTTATGTGAAAAAGTATTGTCAAAAACTTCATTAGTTTGTACCTAAAGATTGCAATTTTTTTTTTTTGTTAAAATGATAATAATTATAATAATTCAGTTATAAATTCACTCACAGTTCGAAGAGCTGTGATAGTTCCGGGACCAAGTACCATATACCATGGTGGTAAGTCAGAAAGCATTGAATTGTCTTGAATTACAGTATCTGGAGAAGATAGAAAGCTTTTTCTAACGGACATGATCCAAAATGTGTTGTCAAAAGCGGTAGAGAGAGAAAAGAGAGAGAGAAAAAACTAGGGCCAACAACTTTATAATTAAACAATTAGCCAAATAACAGAGGTAAGAACACTTTTCTGCGCCAGAATAAAAATTTCATTAACGTGAGACATGTAAACAAATTTAAATTCTAAGAGATTAAATTTTGGCATAAAATGATGTAAAATATTTCAAATAAGGAATTAAATAATGCCAAAAAACATATAAAAAGTGTAAAAAATTATAAAAAAAATATGTTACGAGTGTGAAACAAAAGAATAAAAAGTTTGAGACTTTTTTGGTAAAAGTTTTGTAAACTTATATAGGATTAAGAAATAAAAATTTAATAAATAAAATAAAAATTTAATGCAGCTATTACAAGGGTTGCGTCTAGTCAGAAGCATTATGTTTATTTTAAAATGAGAATTTTCAACAAATTTTACTTACAATATTTAGCATTCGCAAATAAATATCCCATATTTTGTGGCTGATGCAAAGTTGGACGCTGAGCAGGATGCCAGCCTTCCGCCTGGGACATGGCCGTCTGTTGAAAGACAAAATATTTGGTTGAATTTATAAGCTACAGCTCAAATAAAGTTTTAAACTTTACGGAAGTATTTTTCTCCAAATCTTGTGATTAGATTCCCATTTTTTTTTGTAATTTCTTCTTAAAAGTTAATTAGAATTTGGCATTAAAATTTTTCTCGTCGTCCTTCTATTTCTGCCTCTTCCAATTTCAAGATTGCGTGAAAATCAAAGCTTAAAGCCAAAGAAATAGTTAATAATTTCTGCGTTCTTTTTATAATATTCAAGTTGCCTATAACTTCGTGAATATGGGAACCGGTTGAAACAAGAAAGTGTTGTCTTAAAATTAAAAAAATTCTATATTTTAAGATGCAAAAAATTTTTAATAAACGTATTTGTTAGAGTGATAAAATTAACTGGTAACTTTGGTAAAAGGCGATTACGGAATAAGATGAAACCAATGGGACAATGGATAATTTGCCAAGTTCGAAATACATCAGTTTCTGACATGCTACTTAATTAGTTCTAAGCATGTGAAACTTTTTTTCTTTTTTGCGGCCACGTCTACAAATTTTTTTACTTCATAGTTGTCTTTTCACTAGTAACGACCACGAAGGCATTTAGGTAGCTCGTCTAAAAAGCAAGTATATCCCACTCCTCAAAAATCGATACCTATGTGCTAAAATGTATTTTATAAAATGAAAAATCTTTCTTGTAGCTTTAATTTTCTTTTTATTTCAAACAAATAGATTAAATTTCATATTTTCAATACGCAAAATATTTTGCTGTATTTCAAACCGAATTTAAATTGATGCGATTTTTTCTGATTATCAGTAAAATCTATAAAATCCCCCATACTGACAAATCTGTCAAATGAACATAATTCTATTTATGAACAAAAACTTTTAAAAGTAAAATATGCTTTTCTGGAACATTATTCGAGAAAAATTTGTTAATTTAAAGTCTAATTAATCTGAATTGAAACAAATATTATTTATTTTTAATGTAAAACATCACAGAAAAGCATTTTTATCACCGAAATTTTATGAGGGTGTGACACTTTCATTGATAGCCTGATGTTTAGGAAATTTATATAACGGGCAAATAATTGTATAGAAATTACATGACGACCTAACAACCTAAACGCTTTACATCAGCCAAGGACTAAGCCACAGAGTTGCTCTTCACGAAAGCAACATCAAATTACCCGACAACAGAAAACTCTTTGTATCGCAACACATCTACGAATGCAATCAAGGCAAATTTAAAATTATACCAATATACCAAACAGACGACTACCCTTTCTTACAGATTCAAGAAAAAAACTTCATAGACAAATTTAAACCAGCACTAAACAGAACATAACCACACACACACGTGGACACACGGCATGCATACATGATGGACAGATACACTGGTTGAACCGCACATGTACGCATGCGCAAACAGATACCACGGAAAACAAATATATATATATACATACACTGATAAAACAGATAGACGACTCACGCAACACAAGAAGAACGTGTATATGTGCGTGTGTGTGTATGTGTGTGTGTTTATATATATATATATATGTATATATATATATATATATTTTGTTTGGAAGTAAAGTCTGATGATCCGCAGTCCTTTAAAAGAGCTGTGGTGAAATAATTTATTACATGGAACCTTAAAGTGGTCTGTTTTTATTTAAATTATTTGCTTTGGATATACATTGAGCTCTCTGGATTTTATCCTCCTTAGGTTTACCCATACGGATTACCTAGTTTTTCATAAACTAACTAACTATATATATATATATATATATATATATATATATATATATATATATATATATATTAAAAAAAAGAAGAGAGGTGCCGATAGAGATATTTTTCTAAATAAATCCACATTACAACCAAAAACGTTTGCGGCACCTCCTTCTCTTCTTTTTTAATATACATACTTTTCTCTCGTTGGAACCACTACAACATATTTCTTTTATATATATATATATATATATATATATATATATATATGCATCTACATATGTGTGTATGCTGATTCATGTGCAAGCTAGCGGGACACGCACGCTCACACGATACACAGAAATGGAAATAGATTTGACTCTCTCGGGGGTGATGTGCGGATAGGAGAGCATCTATCATGGAAACATCTGTCATCGCCACTACCTAATGATATTGTTACCACTTGAGTCTCTTTTGCCAACAGTCGAAAAAATGGGATCAAGGCTCACTACAAATACAGCAAAATGAACAATGAACATAAGAAAATTTTTTATTCCTTTAAAAATTGATTCCTTTAATTTGCCTGACGAGACCGGAAACACGTGTAGCAAAAATATGACGAATAAAATATAATATATACATTAAAACAAATCTACATTATAACCAAAAACATTTGCGGTTTCTCTCTTTTTTTTAAATATACATTTTTCTCTCGTTAATTATAACCTTTTCACTATATATATATATATATATATATATACATATATATATAATAGTGAATATACATAATATCCAACGTCGATAACATGACTCGGAGTTTCATGCAGTTTATGCAATCTTCAGGTGCAGAGATATATTTATAGCACTGTTTCATAACATTTATAACACCTGAGGAAGAAATATATTTATACGTACGTGCAAGTATTTGTTCGTGTATATATATATATATATATATATATATATATATATATGATACTAAATGTAATTGGTAGGGTTAGTTCCAAGGAGGACATTATTCCAAAGAGAGTTCAATGTAAGTTACAGAGCAATATAATAATAACAAATCAAAGTAAGCCTTAAAAATCTTCTCGGTTATAATTTATTTCATGAATATATTTAAATATTCGTCTCTTCAGACCGAAAGTTTTTTAGAAATGGAATCCAATCCATCCAGACAGATGTATCAGGATAAAAAGGAGAAAAGGAAAAAAAAAGTGAGAGAAAAAAGGGAAAAAGAAAAAAGAAAAAGGTCTACATCATACTTATTATAAAACCCAGGTTGTGTGTGTGTGTGTGTGTGTGTGTGTGTGTGTGTGTGTGTGTGTACGTTTATATATTGGATCGGATTTCCTACATTTTTCAACCGATTTCAACAAAACTTCACATGACTACGTAAAATTACCTTGTGGTGGTTCTGACAGCGCCAAAAATTGGAAAAACACAATTGTTTTTGCATTAAATCAATTTGAAAATATGATTAAGAGGCATCGCGAGAACGAAAGGGGACAACTCATATCGAGTTATACTTATAAAACCCAGGTTGTTTGTGTATGTGTGTGTGTGTTCGTTTATATATGGGATCGGATTTCCTACATTTTCAACAGATTTCAACAAAACTTCTTTTTTTTTTTGCAGGTAGTGTTTCTTTATTGTCTTGCACACTTTTTTTTTTCTTTTTTTTTACATTCAGAATGCTTTAAAATTCCATTTTACAAGACAATTGTTTATAATAAAATTCTATTCAATAGGTAGACTCATAACGATTGAAAACAATGTTTTTGTTTGAGTTTGAGTTTGACCAATTCGTAAAAAAAAAAAAAAACTAATTAAGACATGCGTGTCCGTCAACCTTAAACAATAATCTTTGTCAATTTTATTTTTCAGTCTTTATGATGGTCGATACTTGATCTATCTTTTACTGTTACATCCCCGGGCAACGCCGGGCTATACTGCTAGTCATTTATAATTTTAAATTTATATTTTATATTTTACTATTATTGATAGTATTATCTGTATTCTTTTTTTCTTTATCTATTTTTATATTCTAAATTTGTTCTTTATAATTATCTATTTATTAATTTATTGATTGATTTATTTATCTATTTTATTTATTTAATTTTATATTGTAAATTTTTTCGGCCTGAAATGATGAATATTAAAATATTCATGAAATAAATTATAACCGAGATGAATTTTAAGATTTTATTATTATTATTATTATTATTTATAACTATTCAGTAATTTTTTTAAATAATAAAGCATTCTAATATTTTATTGAATTTCAGGTGTTTTGGGCTTTAGTCATAATTAAGAAGATGCTTGTTGAGGAAATGTTAGAAAATTACCAACAATTTTTTTTTGTTATAGTTACTGGTCTTATTTTCTAAAAATGTCATGTATGAGCATCCGTATTTTCAAATATCTGCACGTTAATCCCCCTCACACACACATAGACACACATACAAATACACAATTTAAAAATACTGGGGTCATTGAATTGTGAGATTCTTAAATAAATAACGTCCTAGTTTTCCTGTATTTTTTGTAACTAGAAGCCCTGTTTGCCCAAATAATTTGATTATTTAATATTTCAATTTCCCGAGAGCTTATGACTAATATAAACGTTAAGCACTACAAAAAAGAATTTCTCCAATTTCATAAAATTAAATAAGTGTGGGGTAAAAGAATTTTAAATATATATATAAGACTCTCTTAGAAAGAAACATTTC